ATAAAATTTAGGTGGAAATGTGAGAACACCCTTTCCATTAAGATGCCAGAGAGTTGACTTTACAGGTTTTAGTAGGTTTGGCATAAACTCAGGCCTAGCTAATTCCCAATCCCATCTTCTTTCCAATATACCAGTGTGCCTCCGAGAGAGCCAGTTAAAGACTGTAAATTCCTTGAATTATTAAAGAGAAAATGGCACTCTATTACCGAGTACCCCTCAGTGGTTAATTTGGGAAAACTGGGAAGGGGGATTTCCATTGCCAAAGCCCTAGACTTATGTCACTTAATTTGCGGACTGGTAAAATAGATCAATTATAACTCTGCTTATATCTCACAGAGACAATCTCATAGCCCCAAATGAATATGTCTTCACCTCAGCATTTAGAATGTCTGATGTTCTGATTCTTGGTACCTTCAGTTTTTTTTTTTTTTTTGGGGGGGGGTGTGCGGTGTGTATGCACACGTCTGGCTGATGCCAGAAAGATACATATTCACCATCTCACCCTAGCATCGTTTATTTAAAAGATGGTCCTCTCAGGGAGTCTAGGTGACTCAGTCAGTTAAGTGTCCAGCTTCAGCTCAGGTCATGATCTCACAGTTTGTGAGGTCAAGCCCCACATCGGGCTCTGTGCTGACAACTCAGAGCCTGGAGCCTGCTTCCAATTCTGTGTCTCCCTGTCTCTCTGCCCCTCCCCCACTCCTGCTCTGTCTCTCTGTCTCTTGAAAGTAAACAAACATTAAAAAAAGTAAAAAATAAAGCACAAGTTCTGGAGTCAGACTGCTTGCCTGCATATTCCAGCCCCACCTTACTGGTGGGTTGACTCTGGGTGAGTTACTTAACCTCATGGATCTCATGTGGACAAAATGATTAGTGTGTTTGCGTATCGTTTACGATTTTCATCTGCAACATGCTGGAGGGAATGGAGAGTACTTACCCACCTCATAGGGTTGTTGTCCTGGGAGGACTAAATGATACAATCCACACTGGAACAGTGCCTGGCAACCGGTAAGAGCTCAATAAATGTTAGCTGAGATTATGATTTTCTACTTACTGTAATCCTATCTTTCAATGTCCACCTAGTTCAAACTGCTCCTCCCCCATGAAACGTTTTTCAAGAAGAAGAGGAAGGAAGTATTAATTCTGCCAGACATGTAGCCCCTCTCCCTCTCTCCACTCTTTATTTTAATCCTTTTTCTTTCTTCTTTGGCTCTGATTGTGGATTGCCCTGCTGGGGTTTGCCCCTCCAGACTGTGAACACCCCAAAGGTGGAGATCTCTGCTCACTTGAGTGTCTCTAGATCTCTGCCTGATGCCCTGCATTTAAATGTTCAATAGATGCTGGTTACATTGTATCAAACAGAATCAGGAAGGGAGACTGCTAGGTGCCTTTGTGTAATAATGTTACTGGATGTGTTTGCTTTCCAAGAAGCTTGCCATTTGGAATTGCTCTTAAACAAACTGTTGAACTAAACGGACAGGTTTTTTTTAGTGACCTAAGAGGAAGGCCATGGGCAGTTATGCTAAGATTCAGGAGAGCGGCTTGAATACTGGCATGAAAACACTTGGACTGAGTGGAACAAGTGGCTGGGGTAAAATCTGCCTTTATTATGAAAATGTGAAGTTGACAAAGATGTTTCCACTTATGATCTCAAAACCGGAAACTGTCTTAGAGCATATTAAGATACCTGCAGTTTTAAAATAGGATTGGATTTTTCATACACTGGGCTCAGTCTTGAGTTTGTGGCTGGAAAGCCTTAGGCTTTTAATCCTGGAGGTTTTACTTACTCAGACTGGCTCTAAAGGTCAGTTCGTGCTAAAGGCTTTTATTTTGCATTGAGACTTATTTACAAAAACCACTGAAGCACTTTGGTGAAAGCAGCTCTATTTCTAGGGCTGCCCACTTTGAGGATCCCCAGGCGAGAGCACAAATCAAGGCCCGTACCTTATGTGTGAACATTTACAAGGTATGAATTAAGGTAATGAACTGCTACACAAAAATACCACCTTCCCCTCCACCTTCCACCTGGAAGCCATGTTCAATTTAGAATTTTCCGGCTCCTCATACTTCACAGTGTTACATGTTGGTGCAGGGTCTCCCTTCTCTTCTCAGACCCAGTTGTCCCTGATCTTGAAAGGCTTCCTGAGCAGGTGTGGAGAGCCCAGTCCATGTGTCCAAGTTCCAACCACACCTGCCCACAAATTGCTGCCCTTCCGGCCCCAGACAGTGTGCAGAGACAGCATGGTCTACCTTCTGGAAGATGGACCTAAGAAAAAGGGCTGTTGGACACTGATAAGTAGTTCTGAGGTCTGGGTCTTTCTAGCGTGGGGTGGCCTGTCCCTTGCATTGTGGGGAGGGTCTAGCTGGAAGAAAACCAAAACAAGGTTTTCTAAAGTGTGGGGTCCCTCCGGCTTGGGTCTGAGGGTAGTACCAAAGCTATTTAAGTAATATGCAAATGACGGAATATTTTTATCTCAGGGTATTCTCGAACCCTTATTTATATGAAATACTGGCATTGCTAATCAACAATATTATAGTACCATACCAAATTCTAGTGTTACTCTCTTCACCCCAACAATGAAAAGCCTTAAACTTTAAAGAATTTGTTGTAATACTAAACCGTAAGTGGTTGCCAAAGAGCAAGCTAATTTAGTTTTTTTCCCACTATAATTCTGAAAGCCTTGTACTTGGTGCCACATATACCTCATTCAGACTAATTTGACAGAGAGAGAGAGAGAGAGAGAGAGAGAGAGAGAACACTGTGGATTTGCTTTAAAACCATGTCATAATAGGTCAGCATGGTCAACAGGAGGATGGGCTGTCATTAGTAAGGCTCATCAGAAACTCTCTTCCCTACCCATTTGAATGGAATGGTCTACCCCCACTCCACAGTCTACTCCTCAGAAAGTCTACCCTTCTCTCAGAAACATAGATGTTAGAACATCAGATTTAAAAAAAAAAATTAATGTTTATTTATATTTGAGAGAGAAAGAAAGAGTATGAGCAGGGGAGGGGCAGAGAGAGGGAGACAGAATTCCAAGCAGGCTCCAGGTTCTGAGCTGTCAGCACAGAGCCCGACGTGGGGCTCAAACTCACAAACTGTGAGATCATGACCTGAGCTGAAGTCGGACGCTCAACCGAGCCACCCAGGTGCCCCAGAACATCAGATTTATTTACCTACTTGTTCTAAGAAAAACAAAAGCTGTAATATACTATCCTAGACATCTCCCTGTCCAGACATGCCTAAGTAACTCAAAAATAAGCTTTGAAGGCAAATAGACTTGATTCCCATTTTAGCTCAGTCATGTTATTGTTGTGTGGACACAGGTATCCCCATAAAACCCACAAGTTGTAAGGATTAAATGGAATCATTTATGGGAAAGGAACGGACACAGTGCTGAGACGCTCAATAAATGCGTTATCTTCTTTACTCACGATTTCTCTCCGCTGCATTCAACTCAGATTTTTAAATCATGAAAGTAGATCGATCACGATAAATTAGAATGTAAGTGGCTTCCATTCACTCAGTAGTTATAAAGGCTGTATTAGGACATATAAGACTAAATTTCAGATTCACATGCACAACAATCTTCTCAGAGTGAAAGGAATTTTGGAAGCTTATCAAAAGACCTACCTGGTGGTTCTGATGAACAAAGAACATTCTCGACACTAAACTGAGCTCCAAGGTTTCATATTCTAAGGTTACTACAGCTGCATTCCAGTTAACCTCATTCTTTTTTGAATGCAGCTGCTCTTTCTAGAAATTACTTTTTCACCAATCACTGCCAATCGTATCGAAGTTATTGTGAAGTGAGGGATCTTTTCTTTCAAAAATCCAAATTCGAATCACAACGTGGGGCCCTACAAAGTATTATGAGAGCACGTGAGGTGGCTGCTTCTCCTGGAGAACTGCCTGAAAGCCCCCTGCCGACCAGCTCAGAGGCCTGAGCCAGAGTGGGGCTTCTGGTCCCGACCTGGCTGGTGCACTGCAAGAACCCGGCTGTAAACCACAGGAATTACTTGTCCGCGTCCCGAAAGGTAATTGGTGGGTATCAGTTGGTAAATAAGGTTGCTTTCTGCCCTCTCTCCTCTTGCACTGTACTATTACAGTATTTTGGGTGTGTGCATCTCAGTAAAATGCAAAGATTCACATGAAAAATGAAGAACATGCACGCATATATATATCGAAAGGCATACAGCTTTTTCTTTTTACACGTAAGCAATGCCCTAATTCTTTACTAAATAGCACAACTTCAAACTGCGTGTCACAAACACACTGATGTTATATTTAAAGGAAACTGTGTGGGCACAGGTAAATTTCTGTTATTTTTGTCTGCAAACCATCCACAGCAACATCTACTCGGGGCACTTTAGCACAGCTCCCCACTACGCGCTGTGGTAGAAACTCCAGGAGGGGAAACAATCTTTTTTTTTTTTTTTTTTTTTTTTTTTTTTAAAGAAATGGAAGTCCTTGCTGTGAAGCGTAGGCTACAATCATGTTTAAAACATTTCTAAGAGCATATGAAAAATGTCACGATGCAGTCAGAGTTTCTGGGTTCTTCATTCAAAGTGAATGCTGGGGAGGCTGCTGCTGACAGCTGCTGTGGATCCGTGTGGTTGTCAGTTACACACACATGTGAAAACACAGACAGGAGCAAACAACCAGGACAATAAGGAAGCAGGATGTGCCCTCCAATCAGGAGAAAAGTTTATTTTCCCCCCCAATAAACTTAAGGATGATTTTAAGAAGAGGCTCTGATAGTATAAATATTTTGTTGAGCTAACCCCCACTCCCATTTTTTTTAACGATATAATTTCTGAAGGAGACTACATTGGATCTTCAAAGACAAACCAAGTGAAAATGGCTGCGAGAAGCAAGAATGATGTATGTGAGATAGAAATCTACACACTTCGCATACTCTCTGCTCTTCTCCTAAAGACAGCCTTTGTAAATGACCCCTGGGCATCACCTTCTTACTTTCTCAGCCCAGTTCTCTCCCTACCCAGCCGGGCCTCCCACACACTCCAGCGACGAGGGATGGACTCTACGTGCTGCGGACCTGCCCACAGATTCCAGGGCGGCCCTTTCACTGCCAGGCAGGGCTGCTGCGCCCCCTTTTCTCCTCCTAGTCCTTGAAATGCTACCTCCACAACTCTTGCAATGCCTGTTTCTGTACCTCCTGCTTTCTTGGGAGAACTGGTCACACTCCCTCCTTTGACATTTGATGTCACATGATGTCGCCTGACTCTAGACATGACAGGATCTTTGTATGTAGATGTCAACTTTTAATTTGATTTAGAGTAGGCAATACAGAGCAGTGCTTACACACTTGGTCTCTGATGATGGACTTGCTGCTGCCTTTGAGTCCCAGCTCCAACATTTCCACAAGCTGTGTAACTTTGGGCAAGTTATTTAACTTGTCTGTGCCTCAGTTTCCTCCTCATAACAAGGAGAATGACATCACCTAGCTCATACGGTTTTTGTGAGGAACAAATGAGTTAACACATATAAAAGTACTTAGAACAGGGGCACCTGGGTGGCTCAGTTGGTTAAGTGTCCAACTCTTCGTTTTGGCTCAGGTCATGAGCTCATGCTTCATGATTTTGACCTCGATGTCAAGCTCCATGCTGACAGAGAGGAGCCTGCTTGGGATTCTCTCCCTCCCTCTCTCTGTCTGCCCCTCCCCTGCTCACACCATCTCTCTGTTCTCTCTCAAAATAAGTAAATAAACATTTAAAAAATAAATAAAAGTACTCAGAATGATGCCAGCCATGGAGTAAACATGGAATGGTTATTAGTTATTATTTCGGCATCAATAGCACCTCTGGATATGAGGTATTTTTGTCCATCATCTTCTGCCTCTAAACCTTTGCTGGCTGGTCCAGTCCCTGATATCTCACCATTGCCACCACCATAAGGGGGATCTTTTGCCCCCACTAGTGGCTCTTAGGCCTCTGACGCCCATCTGAATTGTCCACATGCTGCCCAGAAGACAGAGAAGTAAAGAAAGGGAAGGCACATGGAATACCTGTCATGTGCCAGCCCTGGGTGACGTGCATTCATACTCCTTAACTCATGTAATTTTCAGGACTCCCTGCAACCCAAAAGCAACTACTGGAGCTTCTCTGAATCTTGACTGAAAACAACCCACTGTAACAAGACATCTTTGAGACAGCTGGGGAAACCGGAGTATGCATTTTCCAGAGGATACTGTGTGCCCAAGGAAAACTGAGGAGTGTTCAATTTTCTTGAGTGGTGGCTACACAGGTCTCAAAATGCACTTCTTAGCCAGAGATCCATGCTGAAGTAATTATAGGCAAAATTATGACTGAGATGGGTAACAAAATATTCCACCGCACTTCTACCTCACGAAAGTGTGCAGTGGACAGATGATACAATAGTGGTTCTATTTTGCTACTTTTTGAAGCTGTGTGATGGTAACAAGAGATGCTATTCTATATTTGTAGTATATTTGAAAACTTTCAAAATAAGAAGCTTCTTAAAAGAAGGTATCTCATCTGCAAGTGAAGAAACTGGGGCCCCTAGAGGCTAAGTAACTTGCCGAAGGTCACGGAGCCAGCATCAAAAGTCCTTTAGGTCGATGCCAGCTGCACTCCCCAAGAGTGTCTTTTCTAAGCTTTTGATGCTGTCTTCTTTATACCAGAATGTCTATACCTACAGGCACTTTGTTTTGCACTCTGGTCTCTGAGGAAATTTTCCACCCCCCCCCCCCCCCCCCCCAATACTCAGCCTAGAGAGAAATGCCGGAATGCTTAATTCCACTCTTCTTTCTCTCAACACTGGTTAATGTGACCTCTCCACTGGTCGCCTCCCTTTCTGTTGAGGTCTCCCTGTTGTAAAACCGCCTTCTGGTGACCATCTTATTCCTTTAGTCCATGGCTTTCTGCTTGCATCCTTCCCCGGCAACATCCCTGACACCTGTTTGCACAGCCCTTACTATGTGTTTCCCATCCCCACCAATTCAAAACAACGAGCTTCCCAAAGGTGAGAATACAACCTAATTTCCAAGTCATTTAGAGATTTCTCAGTTTTCTGCTTCATATCTCTACATCTGGCTGACGATCCATTTCTGCTTGCATCTCTCTGCATTGCTTTTCCTGTCCCTGAGCTGTCTTGGTTTTCCTCCCCATCTCTTATTCCCTGGATTTTTTCCACAAAAATCTTACAGTTAAAAAAAAAATCTTAGAAATCATCTAGTGATCTCATTATCCCATGCGTGGGATACTAAGGGAAACAAGTCAACATATGCAGACACGCTTAACACACTAGAAGTACCATAAGGATGCTTAGCACAGCATTGATGAGGGACAGAAGCAGAAAAATGTTCACGTTTAGCCCAGAAGGCTGACCCATAGCCTGCACAGCTCTGATTAGGATCAAATACATGCCCGTTGCTACATTCTTAAAGGATCTCATGAGTGCCTGTATATCTCACCAATAGTTAATATCGAACTGAACGACAAGCACTAGAGAAATTTTGTGAAGTCGTTTTATGAGTAGAAATTTGAGGAAATATTTATGATCTAATACTCCCTGCACATCCCACCCCCTTGAGCACCAAGCATATAACAACCAGCTTCATTCAGCAAAAGTGCAGCCCTTTCTGCCCACGGGTCTGGTCCCCGTGTTATTTAAGTCAACTTAGTAAGTTGCACCATACGACATCTCAATTCTTCCTTGACTGGCTGCTGCGCTCCATGACTGCGCAAGAGGATATGGTCTAGTTCTGTATTCCAGTTGCTTGCTGGACATCTCCACATGGTTGTTATTCAAGCCCCTAGACTTAAAATATCCCAAGTGGAATTTATCATCTTTCTCACAAACCAGCTTCTTTTCCTAACACTCCTACTTCTGTGAAGGGCAATGCTATTATTTTAGTCAAGAAGGCTTAAGATCTTAGAATCATCTTAGACTTTTTTTTTTTTCCCTAATAGAATTTATTTCTTACAGCGGTTTTGGGTTCACAGCAAAACTGAGTGGCAAGTACAGAGAATTCCCACATACTCTCCCTACAACCTCCAGCCTCCTCCAACATCAACACCCCCACCATGGTGGTACCTCCGGTAACAACTGACAAACCTCTGCTGATACGTCATAATTACCCAAGGTCCACGGTTTACGTCACAGTTCACTCTTGGTGTTGTACATTCTTCTTTTTTTTTAAAAAATCTTTTTAATGTTTATTTTTGAGGGGGGGAGGGGCAGAGAGAAAGGGAGACAGAAGGTCCAAAGCGGGCTCTGTGCTGAGAGCAGAAAGCCCGGTGTGGGGCTTGAAGCACAGACCGCGAGATCATGACCTGAGCCGAAGTCTGACGCTCAACCGACTGAGCCACCCAGGTGCCCCTCAAGATTTTATTTTTAAGTGATCTCTACACCCAGTGTGGGACTCAAACTTACAATCCCATGATCAAGAGTCACATGCTCTACCAACTGAGGCACCCAGATGCCCCTGTGTTGTACATTCTGTAGGTTTGGACGAATGTATAATGAATGACATGTAGCAATCATCACAGTATCCTACAGAATACTTTCACTGCCTAAAAATCCTCTGTGCTCTGCCTATTCATCCTCCCTCTCTCTAAACCCCTGGCAATCACTGATCTTTTTACCATCTCCATAGTTTGACCTTCTTGCCTTTTCCAGAATATCATATAGTTGGAATCATACAATGTGGCAGATGGCCTTCTCTCACTTAGCAATATGCACTTAAATTTCCTCCCTGCCTTTTTGTGGCCTGGTAGTGTATTTCTTGTTAGTGCTCATTAATATGGCGCTGCCTGGATGGACCACAGCGTATTTATCCATTCACTGACCAAAGGACGTCTTGTTGCTTCCAAGCTTGGGCAACTATGAATACAGTTGTTATAAACATCTGTGTGTAGACTTTAGACTCTTTTTTTCTAATCCTCCATAAACCTCACATCTAATAATAACAGTCTGTATCATGTTTAGGGCTTACATACACTTAAAATATACTATGTCATTTGATGTAGGCATTTGAATTTCCTAACTATGATATGCTCAAAGGGAGTACGCTTAAAGACGAGATGGACTTATCCAAGGCCACGTAGTGTTAGCAGACATGGAAGTGGAGACAGAAGGAGCAAGGACTTGACCCTCAGCTTTTCTCCTTTAACCATCAATGCAGTCCCTCCAAGCTGCCAAGTCCTAAGTTCTGTGTCTTGAATCCACCCTTTCCTTTTCATGCCCACTGGCACCAGTGTGGTTCAGAAAGGATGCTCTCGCAGGGACCCACAATGTTCTCCTCTTTGGTTATACTTCTCCTCGTCTAAGAAGCCCTCTTAACCACATTACACAGTGTCTAAATACGCCACACTATCTTAACTTTACCCCCTTAACCACATCACACAGTGTCTAAATACGCCACACGATCTCCTCCCTGCTTTTGAAGCCTCCGTGTCTCTTCATTGCCTCCTGAATAAAGTGCAACGTCTCACCCTGGCTCTCAGAGCCCTGCAGCCTGGGCATTGAGGCTCCCTCCAGTCCTGTGCATTTTCTGTATCACAGTCCAAGCCGCACCCTTGGCCTTACCCACCTTCCTCTAAGTCTTCTCAACATTAAGGCTTCTGCAGCGCTGGCCCCTCACTATCATCTCAAGGGCTGGCTGCGGCACATGGGTTCCAGAGACAGGGGGCACAGAGAGCAGAGTGCCCAGCGGGGTTTCCAGCTATCCTCTGCCAGCCAGTGTCATCACAAAGGGATTTGGGGGAAGAAAAGATGCACAAGTCACTTCCCCCACCTTCTGCATACATCTTTTTAAAATCAAATAAAGTTACCGCTAAAACTACTGACCCCATATTTGTTGACTCAAAGAAGTAAAGTGGAAAGGGTGGTAAAATCACGGAAATACAGCACAGGTCTTTTTCCTAGGGCTTGTCCTAGTTATGTAACACTGCCAGGGTTCTGCCTCCTATCTGTCTCTGGAATTACAAAAAGTCGTTTGGAGGCAACCTTACAGCAAAGAAATATACAATAAAATGACTTTTCCCAAAGCATGTGAAGAGAAATACACTGCCATGAATAAAGAGTTCAGGGTTTCCTAAAACATAATTTCTGGCTCTGTATAGACCACATTAATATTTTAATCTTATTTACAAAAAGACACAAACCCTTGGTTCTCAAAATGTAAATAAAATCAATGGTCTACAATGAAGAGATCCATGTCAAATGTAAAAATCCCGTGTCATCATCAAGAAAATAATTTTAGGTATTT